GAGGCTGTCCACAGACTCACTGTGTACCCCAGGCTGGCCTGGACTTGTAGATCACCTACCTCCTCTGTCCCTAAGAGCTGAGATTACAGGTTTGTACCACCACTCTTACGTATATTACATACAAAGTATTGCATGATGTTCAAAGAGGAAGGTAAAGAAAATAGATGCTTTGAATCTACACATATCTTCATTTTATTATTGGTTCTATCGTGGCTTCAAAGTCCTTTTACTTTTTGTTTAATGGCTCTTATTAAACTGCTTATCAGCACTGATTTTGTTATTATTTATTTATTTTTATGGTTCTGAGAATCTCCTCGAGGATGTTGCCTGGATGAGCCCCTAAGTCATTTAAGTTCTAGTTCTGGGAGAGAGAATACAGATTGTGTCCAGTTCTCACTCCTAGTAGATTGCTCAGAACACCCATCAGCTTAGAACATAATGCTCAAAAAGACAAATTGATAGTCAAACATGTTATTATAGAAATTTCATAGATATACATTACAGATAGTACCCTTCCCCTTCAGAACTAGGGACTGGACCCAGGGCCTTGTGCATGCTAGACAAGTGTCTACTACTGAATTATATCTCTGGCCCAGTGATAGGCAAATGCTGTACCCCTGAACTCCATCCTGGCTGAAGTCTCAGAGGTTTGCATCTCCTGCCTCACAGCTCAGTGGTCCAACAGCAGATTGCCTTCTCAATCTCAGTGTTTGTTCAACCACAGGACCTGGGGCAAGTTAAGTAACTCTTCTGCATGTTTCTTATCTGTCAAAGGTCAACAGTGTGCCTTCCTCAGAGTTCTTCTTCTTTTTTTTTTTTTTTTTTTGGTTTTTCGAGACAGGGTTTCTCTGTGTAGCTTTGCGCTTTTCCTGGAACTCACTTGGTAGCCCAGGTTGGCCTCGAACTCAGAGATCTGCCTGGCTCTGCCTCCGGAGTGCTAGGATTAAAGGCGTGCGCCACCACCGCCCGGCTCTTCCTCAGAGTTCTTAACACATTATTCAAGTTCATGCCTAGAATGCCACCTCTCGAGTAGCATCAGAGTCAGAGAAGGAAAAGGTAAGGACGAGGCACAGAGCTGGAATGCTTCATGGATCTCTCTTTTCTTGCATCCTAGCTGCAGGGATACTGAAGCTATGTTTTAGATGTGCCAGCACAGGACCCATCCTGAGCTTGTGTGTTTGTGTCCATGTTGTACCACTAAAAACTGGACTTTTTTCCCCTTTAAAACTATCTTCTTACTTCATTTAGTACATGAAAAAAAAAACTTTTAAACTTAAAAGTCTGTGTCAAAGTCATGTTCTTTGTAAAGCAGTCTTTCCTAAGATGGGTTTGGTATAGCTTGCCATCCCTGCCGGCAGTGACGGGTGGTGAGAAACGTGGGTTGGAGGCAGAGTTATTTGATTTGCAATTTTGAAGAATAGTTGACTTTTTTATGTGTAAGGACAGCTTTTTGGCAATTTATAGTTGTTGTTGTTTTAAACATGGCTTTTTAAGACTGCATTTGTTTCCATGATAGTCCACTCAGCACCTCAGATATCCTTGTAGAATTAGATTTGCTCATAGAGTAACTTAATTGCCTTTCAAGTTAGGACACTTGTGTCCAACATCTCATCACTGCTCTCCCTGTAGTAAAGAGGAGGATTACAGATACTATCCATAGTGCCAATAAATAAATAAATAAATAAATAAATAAATAAATAAATAAATAAACAAACAAATAGCTAGCTAAATATATAAATAAACAAATGTATGTCTAGGTGATAATTAAACTGTACCTAGACTTACCAAGAAGGTAATTGGGTAGATTAATTCTGGAACATGATTTATTTTCTTTCTCTTTTTTCAAGTAGAGTATCACTGTGTAGCCCAGGTTTTCTTCCTACTTGTAATAATCCTGCCTTCACCAGATTAGTACTGGAATTATAAATATGCTTTGCCATGCCCAGCCATAATATTCTAATTAGACTAAAATTAACCAAAAAAGGAAAAAGATTAGAAAACTTTTTTAATGTGTAGTATTTTATTTGCAAATAAATGTGTGGATGCATGTATTCATCACAAAAATTAGGAAACATCTAACACACAAGAAAATACTCTTACACAAATCCCGACACCTGGGATAGGACTGTCGCTCTGTGGGGACAGTGCTTGTTGCGTAAGCTTGAGGACCCGAGTTTGTGTCTCCAGGACCGATACAAAGCCAGACGCGGTAACGCATGCCTGTAATATACTAACAGCCTAATGGAGAAACGTGAAGTGGAACCTGGAGAATCACTGGAAGTTTGTGGGCCCGCTGGCCTGGCAAATCCAGCGGTGAATAGCGAGAGACCTTGCCTCTAGCAGTTAAGTTACTTAACTTGCCAGGAATGACACTCCAGGTTTCCCAGCTCCACATACGCACTATTGCATGTTTGTGCCCCCCCCCACTCATGAGAACACACATGTACACACGAATAAAGTGTTAAAAATAGAAATACAATACCCAGTGATAATAATCATATATTCAAATGTCTAAACTGTATGAACATTTGTATTTACACTTCGCAAATGGTATCAGACTGTTTGAATGAGTACTGTGTAGACCTGTTTGTCCTAGTTGTCATTAGTTTATAATAGGCTGGTACCTTAAAGTTTTTGTAGTATTTTTGAAGCTTTGCATAATCCCTTTGTTATGTTCTTCAGTAAAAAGGAGAAGAAAGAAAAGAAACCAGCCGTTGGCATATTTGGGATGGTGAGTTTGGGCTTTAGTCATTATTTAAAATACTTATCTCAAGGAAGAGATGTTCCATATGATATAAGGCTTTCTTAGGAGGTATGAAAATGACTTTAAAAATTGTCATCAGATATTACAGAAGAGAAGACACACTGAATTCAGTATGAAAAATTACTCCATGGGCTGAAGAAATGGCTCAGCTGTTAAATGCACTTGGTGCTCTTACGAGGACCAGAGTTCAGTTCCCAGCACCCACATCAGGCAACTCTCCACCACCTAGAACTCCAGCTCTATGGGATCTTAGGCTCTTTTCTGGCCTTCGACGGCACTCACATTCATGTGCCCCCCCACCACAAATAGATACACACACATATACATGTAAATAAAAGTAAAAATAAAAAAATTGGTACAGCCCCTGGTGAGATTATTGTCAAAGTTCATCAGAGGGAGAGGAGAGCTCGGTGTGAGACGGCAGGGTGACAGTCTGGAGTGCTTGTGTCTGGAGTCTGATTTGAGGCGCCACCTGTGGGTCCATGTGCTCACCCAGCCTGTGCTCTGCTTCCTCCTAGTTTCGCTATGCGGATTGGCTGGACAAGCTGCTCATGGTCCTGGGGACGCTGGCTGCTGTTATCCATGGCACTTCACTTCCGCTCTTGATGCTGGTGTTTGGACACATGACAGATAGTTTTACAAAAGCAGAAACCACTGTTTCACCAAACATTACTAATCAAAGTAAGTATTATTTGTAGTACTGAATTTATTGCAAATAACATTCACTTGACGTACCATTTGCAGGGCCTTTGCTAAATATACAGTGTTGTGTTTTGTGCACTGGAGTTGGAGGGTCAGAGCTCTAGCTCTGTTTGTAATGAATTTGAGGAGAGAATGTTTATGGGTACTAGAACATCCAAGAGAAGTGTTGGCAGAGATATGCAGGAAAGGAAGGAGCTCTGTGAAGTCAGAAATGGCTTTGAAAGCAAACGTCAGGAGGAAGTACAGGAATGTAATCCGAACTGTGAATGGTGAGCCACAATAATTACAAGAGTCCGTGGCTGTGAGTGTAAGTGAGGAGTTCAGGATGATGCTAATGCTTTTAGCCTGAGAAACTGGAAGGACAAAGCTACTCTCAAATGAGATGAGAAAGAGGAAGGGGCAGTTTTGGGTGTTGTCATGGGTTGGCCTGTCAGAAAGCAGATCCAGGATTGGAGAACTAAATGAGGTCTGAGACAGTTGTTTATGAGAGAGAGGGAGCGGGTCAGG